CAATACTTCAAAACTTGTTTGCGATTTTAATGAAATGCTAAATATTAAAAAAAGGCCCCAAAAAAAACGATATGTCTCCAAACTGACTGAAATCCCCAACCAACTACACATGAACTTTCCTCTTACCCCAAGCCTCCGCGACCCAAACCAACACCACAGCGCAAACCTAGATAGCTGGCACAGGAAACCTTTGGCGACACACGGGCCTGATTTACATACTTACTTAGGGGAGCGCACCACCTTTTAATAAAATCCTGGCAGCAGCACACCAGGCTTGCCCGTGCGATCATGCGTTTTTGCGCTAAATTTGATGCAAACAGATCGTTAACAGTATGAATGGTGTTGTTTTAAAGTTTAACACGTGCAACTCATGCGCCTGTTTTGGTCTTTTCTTGCATGCGAATGAAAATGGCGTCGACTGGGACGATAGTGTTGCATCACGCCTCCATCCGTTGCTGAGTTGAAAGTAAGTGACAAAGTTCACTCGCTTCTGAACACACAGACAAACACAGAGGTTTTGTATTTTGCATGAGATGCAAAAACGCATAAAAACAGATAAGTTTTTACCATTCTGCCCATATATCCTGGTAGTAGCCCAGCACAACGTTCCTTCGATTCACCGACAAATTCATTTTTTGACCCGGGCAAAAAACACCTACCATTACGAAGCGAATAGCTGGAATGCATTCCGAACACTGATATTGTACCGACGCCAGTACGATCCTCCACACGATCGCCGTGCTTCAGGATGTGCCGAATCTGATCCAGATATTTCTGCTCATCCACGTTCCCGATGCAATCACCACCAGCAGCAGCAGCAGCAGCAGTAGCAGCAGGAGCAGTTGCAGCAGCAACCGACATGACCCGGACTGCCTGCAAAGCTCTGCCCGCAATCAGCTTCACGTGCGTAAAAAGCATCCACCAAACACAAAACGAAACAGGAATTCACGAGCAATTTTGAAATGAGGAGACTATCTCGCAATGATCTCATTACGCACCACTTTCATCTCATTTCGTTTTTATGCGTTTTTGCATCTATGCATATGTAGGCAATTGGCGGCCCGCGGATGAGATCGAGCTTGCGACAGCTTTTAACCCGGCCCGCGGATCGAGTCAAAATGTGGCGCTTAATTAAATGAACGCGAGTTTGCACTCCGCCATGCCTCTACACTCTCATGAAAATAAATAAAACTAAAAAACGCACGAGGCTAACAGATGACAGTCTGGAAAATACTTTGGGAGCCCGTGTCAGTGATATAAATCCAGATTTCAACATTCTTGTGTCAAAAGCTTAAGCTCAGAGTTCACATTAATCTGCTATTGATTACTTTTTTCCTGGATGTACGACCTAATAAAACCTTATCGGTTTTTATACACTTCCGGATTTTATACAAATACAAAAACGAATAAAGTCGACAGCATGTGTGTTTGTCTGTGAGTGTGCGTGCGTGTGTGTGCGCGTGTGCACCCATTCAGAAGTGAGTGA